GGATCAGATTTATATTAAAATTTAATAGAGTTGGATTAGTAGATTCAGTTTTATATTTTTGTAAATTTGATAAGCTTAACATATTAGTTTAAAATTTTTGTTGGGCTTAACTAGCAATATGATAAACATAATTACTCTAATTTTATCAAATAGTTTGAAGAATAAAATTAATTATTAAATACAAAATTAGTTTGAGAGCTATTAAAAATAAATATAATAAATAAAATTATATTGAAAGAAATATAATTATTTCATTCTATCAATTTGTATGTATATTTTTGTTACGTAAAGTATGTAATATACATTCTAAAATATGTTAGTTATTTTGAATTAAAAATAATAAATTGATGAAATTCTAAGAAACTGTGTAACATTGTAACTTATAATTAAAAATTACATAATAATTTATTTATTTTTAAAAATTAAAATCATAGAAAATAAAATTCACATAACAGAAAAAAGAAAAATATGACTCGTAGAAGATATAATCTACATATGACATAATAAAAAGGAAAATATGATTGATGGTTTGCATAAATTTGTGAAAAGAAATTTCTAAAGATTTATAATATATAAGTAAATAGAATAAAAATAAATAAATAAATAAATATAAATAATAATATAAATTAAAAAATATAAAAAAATTTTAAAATTGAGTCAAGTGTATGAAATTATTTTATTATTCTTTATTTGTATTAATTATTAAATAAAAAATTATTTTACGAAGAACATTAAAAAATTATTAAAAAAATAAAAAAAATTATCTAATATGTAAAATTTTTTTAAAATTTTGGGCTCCCTCGTTCCATAAGGAGGCTCCGCCCTTGAGCCTGCCTTTCTACCGTCAATGTCTCATGGCCGGCTTCTCCTTGGTGCTGGTTTTTCTCATCCTTTCGATCCATAACGGGGTGTTGAGCTCCTCTGGCATCTTCATCCTATCTTGCTGTGTGCAGTCGGCTAAGTTTTTTGTCCATGAACGTTGCTTCTGTGGACTGGGGCTGCAAGCGGTGGGCACGGTCTTCTCCCATGTCTTCTTGCTGATCAACTTTTTGCGACTTTGGGGATGATATTAGGAGGCTTTTGTTCGTAGGGCTGGATTTTGTTCTGCGGTTGTGATGCCAATTTTTCTTTGGGCAGATTCCTTTTGCTCACAAGTGTTATGCCGCCAAGAGTTTTTAGTCAATCAAGACTAAAAGACTTGAAGTGGCAGATTGAAGACTGGTTCAATAAAATTAATTTTTTTTTTAAAAAAAATGAAATGCTTTTTCTTTTTAAAAAGTAAGGTATACTTCTTTGTCGTGTTGACATCTAAATTCATAATCTTAACTCATTGGTGATCTAGTGAAGTTAATTTTATGATCATTCTTTAGGTTCACATTTTCTTTTTTTCCTCGAAGCTCCCCTTTCTTAATATCTTTCTCTTAGTCTCCTTGCACATTGCAATCTTTCTAATTACTAGAAACTAACTCCTTTCTCTCCCCCTTTGTTGACAAAACTACTTTCATGCTTCTTAATTGTGGGCTCTATATGACTACAGCACAAAGATACGTATGGAAGAGTGAGCAGCACACCAAGATTATGGCGGCTTGAAAACCTTGGCGCTTGCTGACTAAACCGACTTTTACCTGACAGCCTGATCCCACCGAGAGAGAGATGGCCAATCATCTCTCTGGCCGTTGTTTCCTCGTGCTAAACACTTACGTTAATTTTGTGGATAAAAATTGACACCTTGTGCGCACCTAGAAAAGTTTTCATTCCAGAACTATTAATTGAAAACTCAACAGCGACGCCAGGGAAACACAGCAGCTTCTTCAAGGCAGGCACTGGAGAAATGCAGAACTGTAAAAGAACCAAAACCAACAGATTGCTTGCTTCCATGGCCGCCTAAACAAGCATGGTTTCACCACTAACCCGACTTATAGCCATGGTAGGATTCATTCCAGAGAATATCAGAATAACAAAACCAACACCACGCAAAGCAGGAGAGCAAAAGAGCTCCATGGCAGAAACCTCAAAAGCCAAATGGCAGCAGAATCCAACAATAGAAAACATATTATTGCAGCCCCTAAAACAAGGAAGCATGACCCAAAAAGAACGCACACTAGCTACGGACTCTAGAAGAGAGCGTCAAAGCTCAATCCTCACGTTTTAACTCAACCAATTTATTGATTACCTCTTCTTCGTTGTCTTCAGAAGATGAGCCCAATAATTTACCAACATGGGTTTTTTCTTTCATATGTAACAAATTATTAATTATTTGGAACCATATATACAATACTAATTTTTGTTTCATATATATCTTCTTCCATAAATTCGAGCAATTATAATATTTATAAATTTTTTAAACTTATGCTTATATAGGTAATTGAGAGGAGAAAAGAGAGACATAGTTAGTGCATATGGAAAGGAGAAAAGAGGGACAAAAAGAAGAAATTGTGAGTGCACCACCTGATGATATAAGATATGCTTTCAACAAAAATGCACGTGGATAGGTAAGTGAGAGGAGGATTGCGCCACAATCAACAGCTTCTAGATAGGGGGCTCCAATCTTTCTTCCAGCCGACCAAACTCTGCTTATAAATACACCCAAATCAAGGGAGAAATTAAGCAGCTAAGGATATTACAAACTTGCACGCCATTGGTTCTATGGCTTCAACAGGTAAGAAGGCCTTCCATGAATCAAAAGCCAAGCAGAAACAAGCAAAGAAGAGAAGGGTCTTGTTCTCAAAGAGGGTAAGCCGCACTGATGCCTTGAAAAGGTTAGCTATCCCAACAAAGTGCCTTGCATTTTTCCCACTGTTTTGCGGAGGCCATGCTCTGGAATTGCCGGTTAGGGATGAGAGTGGCCATTGCTGGACTTTCGTCTGCTCCATTCGGAAGACGGGAGCTTATCAGAAACCGGTGCTTCAACAAGGCTGGCGAGAATTTGTTCTAGCTAAATGTCTCCATGTTGGTGATAGGGTAACCTTCTATGAACAAGAATCTGAAGATGGAATCAAGATATTTGGGTCCATTTTACCACGTTCTCGATATGGTATTGAGATTGAGAAAACAATGAGGCCCCTTACGGCTAGACCTTGCTAATGCTCCAATAAGTGGCACTCATCAAACAGTCTTCCTTTAGCATGCTACACCATTGAACCATGGGTTGATGTACCAAGCTCCTGTACAAGACTTTAAACATTTTCCCACTTGAAAAATCACTGATTCCCTATCGTTTTGTTTTTTATATTTTATATTTAAATGGAATTAGTCTTAAATTTACCCTCAGTATTCTGTGTGTTGAGTGCTTGACTTTCTTGAGTAGTAGACCGTGATAAATGGGAAAGTGTAATGCAAACGTCACCTAGCTTTAACTAGGGAAACATTTTAGTAATTGTACGACAACTTCATAACTGATATTAAATTATGTCTTTTACACAAAATTCAACAATTTATATATGAACCCCATGGCCGTTGGCTGATGCCGCCAACATAAGAGAATAACTTCAAAATTTGACAATAGCCATGTGCCCTTGCTGCGTCCTTTCCCTTTTCTTATTTTTTTTCCCAAGATTTCCTAATTATTCAAACCCATATTTTGGTGACCAATTGATAAAGTATTGCACATTTTCAAATGTGTTACATTAAGTGTATATATGTGCATGTGTAAATAGTCCGATTACGAACTAAAGAATATGAAAACAGCTTTGATAAATAGTTTGTCAGTCAACACGTTTGTACTTGTTGATTCTTTCCCTAATTAAAGAGGTAAGAGAGCTTAATGTAATTTAATTTTTCCGTAACATATTGGTAAAACAAGAAACAGATTTAAGTAATTTGCATCGGTGCAAATCATCATGCAATAAAATGGACACACATGACTAACCTTCCTGTGGATGAGCTTGAATTTTATCTCTTATGGGAAAAAGTTGCTTTTATCTAGTTGGTCGTACCATGATCCTAATTATATATAAATATATATATATATATATATATAAAATTGAATGCCATGATGACACCTGGAAAATGAGAGTACCAACCAACTCCCTCATATTTTTCCTCTAATGTTGCCGTTTTCTAGCTTATTAATTAATTTTACCCTTGACTAAGAAGCACAAAGGACATGGACAGAGTAGCATGGCGGCTAATACCACTGGCTTGCTTTGCTAGCTTACCGATGTTTACCCTTCTTGTGTTGTGTTAACCTATAATTCTAACGGTTGGGGCTTCTGTGAAGATTGCGGTAATAACAGAGACTATACTAATTAACGCATTATGGTTGTCGAAACTTTGAATTTTTTTTTTCAAAAATTCATAATTGCTCTCAAAATCCTTAATTCTAAATTTCAATGTAATATTCTATATTATTGAAAATTTAGATGTCTGGGGAAGATATCGGAAGATTTTAGGCCTCTACGTTTCAATGTGAAACCTATTTGCATGAAATTCTCTTAATCGAGTATACAAAAGATGATCAAAGTAGAAATAGAGTTAGTCAATTTTTATTAGGAGATTAAAAATGAGAAAAAGTAAAGAGTTAAAAATTTTTAAAACTAATATGTTGAGCTTAACTAATAATCCAAAAATTTATAATAAACAATAATTTATATAACATATAAATCAAAAGGAAAGTTGTGCTCGATGATATTTTTTAGATTCAAATTAATCAATTATTAAGTTTGTACGAACGAGGCTAGCAATGTCTTTGTCAATATAAATATTTAAATTATCTATAAAAAAACTCATTATCCATTTAGTTTCAAAACCTTGTTTTCACAATTTTCATTGTTGACAAGATTCTCTCTGTATTTGCTGTTGTTGTAGAAAAAGAAAGAGTCAAAATAAAGTGAATTCATCTATCAATCAATATTAATAAAAAAATTATACATTGACAGAATAAAATCATATAAAATAAAATAAAATTATACAATGACAGAATAAAATCATATAAAATTATACATAATAATTTTTTAATTTTTAAAAACTAAAATCATATAAAATAAAATTCACAGAATAAAAAAAAAAGAACATGACAGCTAAAAAGTAGAACTCACATAACAACAACAAAAAAAACATGATTGATTGTTTGTAAAAATTGGGAAAAGAAAATCTATATTATACATAGATTCAAGTTAAGGTGGATTGTAATAATTTGAAAAGGTGGCATGATTTGGGGATTGGGACAAAAAAAGGGCACAAGTAATGTTTTCCTTTAGATTGGATGAAAATTAACCATACTGCTTAGAGTTGCACCATGACTGAAGATGACCTTCGGCATAAAATATTTGGTCATGTGAACTATTGTTCACTTAAACGGATGAGCACAAATAAGATGTTAGTTGGTTTGCTAATGATTTCAAACTCTGTAAAGGTTTGTGACATTTGTCAATTGGTAAGCAAAACGAGCACTATTTCCCAAAGTCAGAAGATGGAATGCTACACAAAAGTTGTAGCTACTGCATGCTAATCTTGAAGGTTTGAAGACTTCATCTTTAAATGGAAATAGATACTATTTGCTATTTATTGATGACTATACAAGATTCAATTAGGTGTATTTTCTCAAAGTGAAATCTGATGCTTTGAATATGTTTATTACGTATAAGGCTTTAGTAAAAAATCAGATGAACATGACCATTAAAATGCAGAGGAGTGACAATGGCATTGAGGAAAAGCCAAAGAATTTGAAAGTTACCTGAGTAAATTTGCTATTATACATCAATTAATAGTGTCTTACAGTTTTCAGCAAAATGATGTTTCTGAGAGAAAAAAACTGAACCTTAATGGAGATGGCAAGGTGCTTACTCTTTGAGAAAAGGTTGCCAAAGACACTGGACAGAAGTTGTGAACACAACCAATTATCTGCTTAATTTATCTTTAACGAAAGCCTTAGTGAATAAGACTCTCTACAAAGCATGGTATGACTTTGAAATCTTCTGTTGATCATCTGAAAATATTTGGTTGCATATATTATGTAAAAATACCAGATGTCAAGAGAACAAAGCTGGATGAAAAGCCTGTTATTGCAATTCATCTTGGGTATAGTGAAGTTTCTAAGGGATACAGATTATTGAATGTCATGATAATGAAGCTCCTTATTAGTAGACATGTTATTTTTGATGAAAGCATGAAGTGGAATTAGGACAAGGGCAAAGGATTTCCATTCTCAAAGGAATAAAAGATTAATGTTTTTTCAAACTTGTTTCTATAATCAGTTATTGACTTCTCACCATCAACCAGGACATGTTTGGGCCTAGTAGATTGGGCAGAACACACATAAAAGGTCCAATCCTTGATGGGCCTACACCAGATTGCATAAGTGGACTTCGATTGCGTTTGAGATGAATTTCATGCACCATGGATGCTGTGATTACTCACCCAGTTTATGGTATCGATGGAATCACTTTCCACTTGTAAAAAATCTGTTGTGTCCCATGGGGAAGAAAGGAAGAAGCTGATACCTTGTTGAATGGCTTTGAACTTTGCGACGTTTAAGTCTTCAGCACTTATTCCGTTAATGTTGAGTTTGAAGATTTCAATTGGAGGAGGTAGCTAGTTGATATTTTCCTTTGGGAGATATTCTTTTCATTGCCGTAGAAGACAATGGGATTGGAGGGCACATAACTGTTGGAATGTGCCCCATTTATCATCTCCCTTTGCCCTAAAAAGAAGGATAATATCAACCATTTGCGTCACCTTGAAGTTCTTCCCTCTAAAAATAATTTCATTCTGGCATAGCCACAAAGACCACATAGTATCAAAGAATAACATTTTCCATGCGTTCTTCATATAAGAGGGCATGGGATAAAAGAACCAAGCCTTAAAGAATGAAAGAGCATTACCAAGGGAAAGCCAACAAATATCCCATTTATGGCAGTGGAGAGACCATGGTTTCCATTCTACAGTACAGTCAAATAGGAGGTGGAACGAAGTTTCAAGTTGAGTAGAGTAGAAGGTGCAGTTGGCATCACTTGGATGATTAATGATTCCAATTTGCAAGTAGTTTTCCATAAAGACCCTGCCAGCAGAAGGTTTCAACCTTCGGAGGCACGAGACCAGTGCTATTAGATGTTAAGTGGTCTCGATAAAAGGCTTTATAGAAAGAGGAAGATGAGTAAAGTCCACTGGTTGTCTTCCTCCAATTACCCTATCTTGAACATTTTCAATAAGGGACTTAAAATCTTCCCATTGTTTTAACTCCCAATTAAAAGGTTGCCTCCTTAGTTTAACATCCCATGTCCGTTTGTTGTTGATCCCTTTACTCGTGTCAACTATAAAGGTCTTTTTGTCCTTAACTAAAGCAAAAATATGGAAGAATTGAATAGAGAGAGGAGTTGCCAATCCAATATGTCTGTCCAAGAAGATATAACGCATCCGTCCCCCAGTAAGTGTCCAAAGCTTGTAATGACAAGATCATGATACTTGCTGGCTTCGGCTTTATTTCCTTTGCCGCTTTGCTTTTGAATACAAGAAGAAATATGCTACCATTGATCAATGATTGTAGCAAGGAAAATTGTCATCACCAAAATAATATGAAAATGACATTTTATTTTTTTTAACCTTTTAAAATTAATATTATCAAAGATCAATAATTTATATTGCTGTGCTAGCAAAGCTATTGCCTTTGTATTAGTGCCGCATTTAAAATAGTAGCATTATGTCATGAAATTGTAAAAAGTAAAAAAAAAAAAAATTGCAGAAAAAAGCCATAGTTGAGCAGAAAACATCAGCAACCGGATCTGTTCTTGCCGAATCAATCTCCAGTGGAGACATTAGAAATAGGAAGAAAGTCATCATTGGGGAGACAAAAGAGGCATGGAAGCGAAGTAAGAGGTTGGGCTTAAATGCTAATGGGGAGGAGGAGGAAATGAAATCTATGAGCATTTTACAAGTACAGGGAGTGTAACCTTGGCAAAGCCTAGGATAGAGAACAATCTCTGAATCTCTCAGCCTCTGTCAACCAATTAGTGTCGATTATGGTGAATGCCAGAGAGATTTTGGCAGGCGTTGGTTTTTCTGTCTCATGCATTTACTCCATGTTTTTGCTTTTCTCAGGTGTTTTCAGCATTTTATTTATCCTCGGATTAATTATGTTCCTGATTGAA